ATTAGTGTTCCATGCTTATTAACCGGCAGATTTGTATTAAATCTAATCAAAAGTCAACTCAAATTGAAAAAATAATACAGATCTGACAGCTGATAAGCATGGAATACTAAAATTCCCAATAAATGAATATAAAATATAGAGAAAATTACCAGGGGGAAGGAACAAACAAACCATACATGCGTGTCTTTAAGTTGAGAATGAGACTTCTAATCCAAGCGATATTTTTTAAAAAGACTATTAAAATTTATATTTTCATCGTCTAATAACTTTTATTCACCGGTATTTGGTTAAATTTATGGCACTGGAATAGTTCTTTCGGCCGCATTTGTGGCGGATGTGGCACGCTCCTATTGATAAGGAATCGGTGAAAGTTGGTTAGGAAGAATGAGCCAACCTTGACTATTGGGTCATGTAAATTTGAACATAAAACATGTATAAAACGATGGGGAATTTTGGACCATTGATAGCAGACTTTGGCTCTTTCAGTACACACTGAGAGGTGAGAATGGTCCCATCCAGCCCACAAATTGACTCGCAATTTTTCGAAACTTGGGAGTTCAAAATTTTGAACACTAAAACGGATTATATACAAACTAATGTCGACAAGACAACTCTTGAAATCGACGGCTTTAAGGATTTTTTGGTTTTCTTAATATTCTGAAAAGTCATCTTCTTCCAAGATATTAATTACGAGAGGGTACTGAAAAAAGAACATTTTGGTTTCAAGAAAAGGAATAATAGTATTATAACAGCAATGAACTTATTCTGATGTGCTTTAAAACAAGCAATTTTGGCTGGCGGATTATGAGCCACGATTACGCTTTTCTTGCTTATAGTACCTTTATTGCAATAGGAGCTCGAGGAAAATTCAACGTGTTAATTGTGAGATAAATCAATTACACAAACACGCCACCCTTTTGTTCCTCCGCAATGCATTTGCCACGTGGTCGGCGTAGTTATGATCAAGCACTAACTTCATGCATGCGTATAATTATATAGATGTATTATATATGTATGTATTTTATATATAAACTTTCTTTAGTGGGTAAGTAAAATTTGGTTAGAAACGTAACTCAAATAATTAGTGTAATAAACGTCAACGCACTATATGATTAATAAAGTAAGTTTGACTGCAGCCTTTAGAAAGGGCAAGTAAAGTAATATACCATAAAAAAAGAGAGAAAATATCGAAAAAAATGGAGAATTGACTCTCCTTGCAATTGGACCAGATTACAAACTTGTACTCCTCCTCGTAATTAGGCTAGATTGACAAAGCCACCCCAAAAGCCAAGAGAATCTTGACGTTTGGTGATTTAAATTATGGTTCATGATTTGTTATAATATATTTTTTCATAAAAAATACACGTAAATCGAAAATAATTCTAATCTATGAACCAAACGTATGATTAGGATGTTCATGATTTGGAACCTTTCCTCTTCTTTTTTTTTTTTTTTTTTTTTGACTTAGCACATCCTCCTTTCCTCATAATACCATTTGTTTGGGAAAGACGTCTTAGGAGCAATGTGAATGCGTTGCACTTTCGGCCATCTTTTGCCTACTTGACTAGTAACTTGGTTATGGTATTATTCATGGTATATGACAAAAATCCCTTAATAATATTCTATCTGAATTATTCAAGCCGGTGTTATCTTGTTGCGAGTGGCACGTACGCTCTCTCCTTTATCCTGTATTTGGAAATCCGTTACAAAGTAGAAAGGTTTTTAAGATAAAGATTCTTTGATTTTTGGTTAGGAAAAATAAAGGAAAAGAACAAATTGTCAATAGGTTGGTACAAAAATAAGGATGCTGACCCATTTTTTTATTTTTTTTAGGATGCAATTTGAGTTCAATACTCCACAACTCTATTTTAGGATGTCTATCCCATCAATATATAGGTCTCGTTCATTTCACCGATTCAAATTTTCAGTTCTAAGTTTTTACAGTAAAAAGCTCTTAGAAAATGTCACATCTAACTTTTTCTGCTACAGTGAAAAACTCTCAAAAAATATCACATCTCAGCTCGAATTAAAAACTCGAATCTGCGAAGTGAACGGGGCCATAGTCTATGTTGGAAGAAGTGGTATGAGTGAAATTGGGATTATCATTTGAGTAGAATTGGTTTATGTGCTTTCTATTTTACTGGTGGGCTCTAGACTTTTCAAAATGAGGAACACACCAATGATCCCTCTATACTAGTGCTGGAACTTTGGACGGACCGCCTGCGACCGCCTGAAAAGTCCGAGTTTTTACCCGAGCCCGAGCCCGAGCTGCCCGAGAAATTTGGGCCGCCCGCCCGAGCCTGAATTTCACCTTGAACGGGCCGCGGGCTTGTATTAGGCGGCCCGAGCCCGGCCGGGCGGCCCGAGCCCGCCCCAAGAAAAACCCAATTGGGATAAAAACTTGGCAAGGAAAAAAGAGTGCAATCATATTGTGACGAATTACAAATTTTATAAACTTACAAAGTTATACAATTACAAATACAATGTCAAAGGTAAATACATATTTACAAATTACAAATTTACAATTTAATTTAAAGCTAAAGGATCGTCTTCAATATTAAATGTTAATTGATTAAATTCATCGATCCATTATTAGCTTGCCGGTGAAATTGTATCTTATAAATGTTGATCGGCCCGATCCCAATCCTTAATGCAAACCAAGGCTTCAATCAACATTGAGTGACTGGTCTTTTAAAATAGAGATCATCAAATAGCGATGAAGTTATTAAACCAAACCAATCATTGAGTGACTTTTGATAAATTATCAATTTACTTTGGTATGCAAGTAGAAAGTTACTTTGATATAGAGTCACAAAGAGAGTGAAGAAAGTTGAAGAAAAAAGAGGATAATTAAGAGGATGAGGAGAGATTGTGAACAGAAAAATAGATAAAGATAGAAAGAAGAGTGATATAGAATAGAAAAACACGAGTATCTATAAGAACAAAACCGGCATTATATAGAAACAACACTTTTTAAAAATAAAAAACAATAAAAACGTGATGGCAATGTGTTTCTTTCCTTGTGTATATTGTTTTTTGAGGAATCATTTTATCATGTGATTGATTATAAAAAAGGGTCAAGAATGTGAAAACTGAAATATTAAACTGCTAAAATAGGAATTTGCTCTTTCTATTAAGGAATTGTGTGTTTACCTTAATTAAAAAGTTAAAAATTTAAATAACAAATATGGGCATTGGGTCTAGTGGTATGATTCTTGCTTTGGGTGTGAGAGGTCCCGAGTTCGATTCTCGGAATGCCCCAATTTGTAGCAACTAAAATTTTCGGGCGGTTTTGGGCAAAATTCAGGTTTTCGGGCTTATTTTCGGGTCGGACATGGTCGAAAAATTCAAAAAAATTCCGGCGGACGGCGGTATAGGGCGGTTAGACGGCGGCGGGCAAGAGAGTTAGTGTCAAATTCGGGCTGCCCGAGCCCGAACCCGAAAATCTAGCTTGGGCGGGCGGGAGATAGGCTTGCCCGCCTGAGCCCGAAAAAATTCAGGCTTCGGGCAGCTCACCGACCCAAACTTCCAACACTGCTCTATACTAATACTGGGTACGGCCTAAGGAAAGAAAGAAATGAAAAAAATGAAAAAAAAAAAGAAGAAGAAGGGCTCTTTTAAGTATTTAGCAAAATTTTAATGGTAGAGTTTAAATATAATAAAATTTTTGAAATATTAAAAAATAGTGAATTTTTTATAACATTAGAATAATGACTATATCCTTATATAATACAAAATGCGGCATTATTGTGATAATGATTATGCCATTTTTACTATATTTATAATATTTTGAAAATTTTATTAAATTTTAATTGAAGGTATGAAAAAAGGGTAATTTTGACAAATATCTCTTGAAAGTGTATGGATCATGATTTTTATCATTTATTCTTTATTTATAACTTTTTAAATTAAATAATTATACTAACAAAAGATATTTACTCTTTAACAAGAAATTCTCCATTTTTTGGTGTAATTATCAAGGCTGGGGGTCCTTCTTCAGGCCCAAGTCATAAGAGAAAAGGAAGAGGGTAGTCTAGTTGGGAGCCCAAGGAAGCTAAGGATCGCATTTATATCCGAATACTGGGTACGGCCTAGGTCCATGTAGAGTCCAGATCCAATATTTGGGCTTCAGCCCAAATAATGGATCACCAACTTTGGACTGGGTTTCATACAAAAAGCCTGATCCATCACATCCACCTGAAATTTGATGGACTCGACATTGGTTGAAATCTCCAGAGTGTGCCTTTTGTCAGTATTTGGATTTGGATAATTTGAGCTAATAAATCCCCCCACCTTCTTCAAAGAAAGATAAAAAATTGATTCCAAATAGCGACATTAATGATTCATTTCAAGCAGTTCTGTTGTTTTATCGGTGTCGTTTTATTCTCAAATTCAAGAGAACATTAACAAACACAATTTGCAGCCATGCCAGTCCGAAGACTGCTATCACATCCTCAGTTGGATAACACGGCATCCGATATTTTCTACATTTTTATTTACAATGCCATTTTTTTTTCTTTTTTCTCTTCGTTTTTCCAAATAGATATCCTTTTTTTTTTTTTTTTTTTTTTTTGGCTGGAAGTGGAATTTTTAATAAATGGACTTGTAAGTAAGAGTCTACACAAGTGGTGAGAAGAAAGTACTCTTGAAAACGTACTACCACCACTCATTTCAATCAACGGAAGAAAGCAGCCAAATCCACTCCCTATTTCCACCCCAGAAAAAAAAAAATCCATTTCAAAGAAAAAAAAAATGCATACTCCTCCATTTCTCCACCACCACCAACTCCTCCCTCCTCTCCTTCTCCTTCACCAAATTCCATGGCCAAGAATCCACCTGAATAATTCCATTCATATTCCCTAACCCCCCCAACTCTCTCTCTCTCTCTCTCTCTCTCCCCTATCCTAACGCTATATTTGAAATTATGATTCCTTCTTATTGCCACCCTCTCTCTCTCTCTCTCTCTCTCTCTCTCTCTCTCTCTCTCTCTCTCTCTCTCTCTCTCTCTCTCTCTCTCTCTCTCTCTCCATTACACAATATTTGAAATTATGATTCCTTCTTATTGCCTATATTCTTCAACAAGAAATTACACCACCTCTCCACCAATATCAGAAGCCTTATACCTCCCAAAACTCTCTAGAAAAGAAACTAACTCAATCAAGCCACCACAACCACAACCAGTACACAAATCTTTCCTCCCAGTTCTGAGACTAAACAACTCCAGATTCAGCCACACTTTCGCCAGCATATCCTCCTTCGCCGCACCCGAAGAAGGCGAAAAACAACAACAACAATCACCACAACACAAAGAAATAAGCAGTGACAATGACGAGGAGCTGCGGGGAATGGCGCAGGCCTTCAACATATCGTCCAGCACGGCCACGGCGATCTCGATATGCACGGCGTTCGCGGCGCTGGCGCTGCCGCTCTTCATGAGGTCGCTGGGGCAAGGCCTGACGTTGAAGACCAAGGCCTTGTCGTACGCCACGCTTCTGTTCGGGTTCTACATGGCCTGGAACATCGGAGCCAACGACGTAGCCAATGCCATGGGGACCTCCGTCGGCTCCGGCGCATTGTCGCTCCGCCAGGCGGTGGTCACCGCCGGAGTTTTGGAGTTCTCTGGGGCGTTGCTCATGGGGACGCACGTCACCAGCACAATGCAAAAGGGAATTCTTGTCGCTAATGTGTTTCAGGGTAAAGATACTCTTCTCTTCGCCGGCTTGTTGTCTTCTCTGGCTGCCGCCGGTACTTGGCTTCAGGTACTTATCTATCTCTAATTGGTTTCTCTGTTTTTATCATTCAGTTTCTGTACTACCGAGGCGGAGCTTGAAAAATAAGAGCGAGAGACGGATATATAATTTCAGATTCAAACAATCAGATATACATATAAGTTGGGTTTTTAATTTTAATTTTATTACAGTTAAAATTCTCAAAAAAATCCCATCTAATATTTTTATTATAGTAAAAAACTCTCACATAAAATTACATCTCAACTCAAATTAAAAATTTAAATTCGTGAACTGTACGAGGTTATAATTTCAAACTTTTTGGGAGATGCTAAACCAAAAATAAAATAAAATTTCAGGTGTGGCAGCCGCCTATGTTCAGCTAGGTGAGTCTCTTCCCCTGTTAAAAATGTAATGTTAGGTATCCTACGTTATTTGACAAATGAGTTGTTAATTTCAGTTCATAAAATATTACTTCTTATAATTGACTTCACCAATTACAAGATGACAATTTACTAATTTGAAAGATAAGTTGGGATCTCCACCATTTTTTTTTAGCATATTAGATTTATGTGCCACATTTTGAGGAATTCAAACGATGAACTACTTTGTTGCAGCTCAAGACATGCAATTACGACACTAATGCAAAATGTACTAATAGATCGTGATCAAAACTTTAGTAATCAATGACCATGAGACACCAATTTTAGACTTTAGTCATATATATAAAGTTGATTTTATTTGACATGACACCTAAATGGAGGACAAGATTAGTGGAATTTCGGCCATGGTGTATAAAGTTTTGTTCAGTAGTGTGAGTAAAAGCATATGGCATTTGGAAGTAATTCAACTACTTTGAAATTTTAGTTTCCAGGAGTAGTTGTGAGGAAAGAAAATGCATTTTGAGATTGTCTATCGTTAACAAATCTACAACGGCTTACGATTCTTTGCCTCTGTCTTTGTCGCATTGTTTAAGCTCAGAAAACTAAGTGGATTGAGCACGTTTTCCATATTATTTTGTTTTGGAAATTCTTGTCGCAAATAAATTAGAACTTTTATGTCTGATCTTTCCAATGACTTATTACAAATGGAATCTTGTGAACCAGGGCACTAGTAGAAACTCATTACCAAATTTAAGGGAGTTCCTTAAAAAAAAAAGAAAAAAAAGAAAAAAAAGAAAAGAAAAGAAAAGAAAACAGCTTACGGAATCAACCTCCTATCCGGGAAAAATGGGGAGCAAATACATGACACCATTTTTGTATATTAGAGTCAATGTGAAAGAAAACTTCAGTAGATTAATTCATTTAGAATGAAACATAAAATTGGTGCGTTAAAAATGGATCCTAAATCCTATGCTACTCGGTTATTGTTTTACTGTTCTCTTTCCTCTGTTTTGTTTTTTTTTTTTTGGTTATTTTTTTCCCTACTGATCTCTTGGTCATGAAATTTTACACCGTTTGATAGGAACAAGGCTCTCTGGATATGTTACTAGGGGAATATTTAATACACAATTTGATTCTTCAATAAGGATTAAAAAACAAAACATTTTCCTTAATCATATTTACCATGTGTGTTTGCGTTTGTCTAGAAGTTTATCTAAATTTCGCACAAAAACCATCATCTAAAAAGTTTCTTGAGATCACATCCAAAGCCATTAGAAAAAATAACTCTTGAAAGAACTAATTAAGAAGAAACTAGAACGTGACTTGACATGATCGGCCAGTTGTTTTCCCTGGATATCTACAATCTACCTGAAAAATTTTCTCTTAACCGTCCTCTGTCTTCGCCTTCGAATGCAAGACATCAACGACAACCGAGAAAACTGTCATTTCTATTTGAGATGTAAAAAGAGCAGTTGAACATCTTAAAACCCTTACATACACTTGCTTTGACGAGCAACATATGAAACATGCCAAGTTACTGATCCATGAAATGCCAGAAATTGAATGAAATTGTTCCTCTCAAGACTTGTATGCTTCTTTCTTGACTTTATCTAAATCAATTAACAAGTTCTCCTAATTTTGGCCAGGTGGCATCATACTACGGATGGCCTGTATCTACTACACACTGTATAGTAGGATCAATGGTCGGATTTGGACTTGTATATGGAGGAGCTGGTGCAGTCTTTTGGAGTTCTCTTGCAAGAGTGATTTCTTCTTGGGTGGTCTCACCATTAATGGGAGCTGCTGTGTCTTTTCTTGTTTATAAATGCATCCGCAGGGTATGTTCTTTTTCCTTGGAAACTTAACCAAACGTTGTACTCATTCATGTTTTGTAAGAAAAATCGTGCCCCATATGGCTTATGGATGGAAAGACACTTGGAGCTATGTCGTTTATATGGATTGTCTTTTAAGAATTTATGAATTCTTGAGAAAAAATCGGAACTTAGTCTAAGACGAGGCTTAGTGGATGGTGGATGTATTTCTTAGTCCCAAAACTAAAACATTGACTTTTATATGAACTCTCTTTACATATGCTTTCTGTTTCCAGTACGTGTACAGTGCTCTTAATCCCGGACAAGCAGCGGCAGCAGCTGCACCAATTGCCGTATTCTTGGGCGTGACAGGAATCTCATTTGCAGCCTTTCCTCTCAGCAAGACATTTCCCGTGGTCTTAGCTCAGTCTCTAGCCTGTGGGACCGCAGGCGCATTTCTAGTTGACAGAATCATCAGAAAACAGCTCGGTCATCTCCTCAAAAAGTCAACCTCATCATCACAAGAAGAGCACAAAGATGACACCAACAAGTCCATAGGCTTCCTCTCTGACATAGCCGGTCCAAAGGGCACCCAGTTGGAGATAGTCTACGGGGTGTTTGGATACATGCAGGTACTCTCAGCCTGCTTCATGTCGTTTGCACACGGAGGAAACGATGTCTCCAATGCCATAGGCCCCTTGGCCGCTGCACTGTCCATACTGCATGGGGCCACTGCCAGTGCTGCGGAGATCGTTATCCCCAATGATGTCCTCGCTTGGGGAGGTTTCGGTATAGTGGCAGGGCTTGCAATGTGGGGTTACAGGGTTATAGCAACCATTGGGAAAAAGATCACGGAGCTCACGCCAACTAGAGGATTTGCAGCAGAGTTTGCTGCAGCCTCTGTGGTCCTATTTGCGTCAAAACTTGGATTGCCAATCTCAGCCACGCATACCTTGGTTGGTGCGGTCATGGGGGTTGGTTTTGCCAGAGGTCTTAACAGTGTTAGAGCTGAGACTGTGAGGGAGATTGTGGTTTCTTGGGCAGTAACTATCCCAGTTGGTGCTATGTTATCTGTTCTCTACACATGGATCTTGACCAAACTTTTGTCTTATATTTTATGAGTGAAACTTTTGGACATTATTGGAGTGGTGAACAACTTATGTAACGTGGTTATTTTAAAATTACCCACCCTTTTTTTTTAACCAATATTGATTTGTGGAATAATTGTGCATTTTTCTGATTGTTGAGACTCCCTCCGGCTGGAAGTCTATATATCAGAAATCAAAAGTAGATTTTTAACTTAATCCTGCTTGGAGCTTATGGTGTTCTTTTTTCACGCCTTTGTACTGCCGATGGACAAAAATATTGAATCCAAGTTTTAGATTTTATAGAAAGAATCTGAATACAAATGACTATTTGTTTATACACAGGCTGCAATTCATGGTTTGTCATGCAAACTGCTAACCAGATACGTTAAAGAGAGCAAACAATGGAAGACATCAGAAGTTCCATTTATTTGTATTGAACTTCCTTAAGATAATAATTTGAAAGCAAATATAGAATATGTTCTTTGACCAATCAACTGCGAAGTGTAATAATCTAGTTTCACGAACAGATATATGTATTTAATATTATATCTAGAAGACTCAGGGTACAGAATATGCTCTCTCTCATTCTTCTAAGATTGTCCCCACATTCTCTGTTGAGATAAATCTACACACGTATATGTATTTGATATTGTAAAGTTTTCTTGTTACAATTAGGCATTCAGATTAGTTTTTGTGTCTGTATTGTAGGCCGATTTAGAATAGAGCTTGTGCATTTCCACGGGTAGAACAATAATAACTATTCAGCAAGAGAAGAGTTTAAAAAAAAAAATGGGGTTCAAGAAATTCTCTTAAATCCAAATAGCAATTCCCCTTATCTCGGTACAACTTTTGAACTTTCAAATTAGAAGAGTCAATCAATTTCCAAAAAATAAAAAAAAAATAGAAATCCAATCTCAACTTGCAGTGAAATTTCAACACATCTGGAAGAAATTTGACAGTAGACAGTTCAAACAATCATCAACACCTGGAAATATGGGGCATCTAAGCAAGGAATAGAGAATTGAAATATGACACTATTTATTGGAAACAATACACCATCAATTTTTTCAATTCAACCGCATATTAGATAGAACCAAAGTCATGGAGAAAGCTCTTGAACAGAAGTTAAGCTGGGTTCCCACCCGGGTCCTTTGTATGATCTTGTCTTTGGAAGAGGAGGTACAAAGGGCTTTTTTTTTCTTATACCTTTTATTGACAAACTTCTTGGCGATCTTCTTTCAGGAGCATAAAATTCTTTTGCAGAAAAAACAGTTTCCTCAAAGTTTACTTCACCTAGATCCATAGTAATATCACCCCATATCTCCTCTTTGCCTTCATCAGGGCCTCTGCCGTTCGCCTTCCCCTGGCCTTTTCGCTGAAGTTTCTTCACAGTAGAGGATGGAATTATGAAATATTTCTCACCAGGCAAGAGCCTCTCTTCAGGCCACAAAAGCGACTCGTGGGGATTCTTGAAAACTTCCGGCTTGGCAACGCATGTGCCTGGATACTTCTCCATCAATTGGAATGCTTGAATTCCACAAGGATACAACTCTTCTATCCCACCTCTGTGAACTATCCTCACAAAACTACCATATGACTTTAAGCTCAAGTTAATTGACATGGGATTTTCTGTAGATTGTGTGCAAGGAAAAGGCGATCCTTTGATTTCTCTCTTTCTTTTTGATCCACTGTTAATGTCCCTGACAAGGCCAAATAACCGAGCACATTTCTTCAGCATAGCTGAAAACAAAAGGTCGTCTTAAGACTCTCAGCCAAATGTTTTATAGTAGTCCACTGGCCTAATCTTGGTGGCTCTCTATTCGCTCGAGGTACACTAATACTACAAACCATTCTCTATCCTTCTCTGTTTATATGGCCGGCTGTCATAATTTATTGCTATTTAGAACAGAAAGGTGTGAAGAATCCAAAGCTCTTCATAGTTAACAGACATGCGGGAAAGAATGTTCTTTTGTCTTTAGTTCAGCCACCAACAGTGGATATGAAATGACCATCTCAAAAACTAAGTGCCAATTTCGACTAATGCCAGGTTTGTATGCACATTCTTGTGCTCATATCATACTCCCATAAGCCAGAAGATACCTGACGTTCTAGCTTCTTCTGCCTTCCACTTATCCAATTGTTATGGATCACAAAACAGCCCTTCTTCTTACATGCTGCTCTTACATTTTTCTTCTGCCAAAGTCCTTTGTATGCACCATTCGGGAAATGATTTCTGTCCAAGAAATGGACCGTCAGATTTGTTTCAGGCTCTAGACATCTATTGTCACCAACGCGATTGGTCCCATTTTCTCCACATAGCGTGTCATAAAAGCTTGGCTGCTCAGAAATGCCCGAATTCGCTGCATGCTTCACCACCTTTTCCAAGGCTGCAATAGTTGAAGCATCAGACCGAGCAAAGTAAAATCCAGAGTTCAATCTCCTCGGCATATTTATAGGTCCTGCACAAATAACAACAAAAAAAAAAAAAAAAAAAAAAAAAAAAAAAAAAAAAGAAAGTTAAGGCGTGGCTATAGTGTTAGTGGACTTGCATGCATACATGTAAGATGGTAATTTCAATAAATATATTTACTTTTTCTCCTTTTACTCTGTATGATAAATATCACTAAGACACTGGAAATTTTAAGATAGACTATAACAAGTAAGATGCTTAGAAGTTAGAACAAAACCGAACAAAACCTGCTTCATTGTATTCGTCAGACTGAGCCGGAAGAACAGAAATACCGAAAGAGGAAAGAAATGGTAATGGATTTTTAAACCAGTATACATCAACATCACTGAGAAGAACATTGTAACCCAGCTTCAGTATCTCAAGAACCATTCTGGACTTAACTTTGGTCACCCTCTGGAAGCACTTTGTGCCAAAGTGGCAATCGTTGAAGCTGATGTCACTTGGAGCTAACACATCCCTAAATGCAGGCAGACCCTATCAACAGATTAAAGTTTCTAAAAATCAGATAAATCATAGTAAGATGCATAAGGTAAATCAAGAACATAAAATAAAAAAAGTGATCAAAAAAATGAAGAGCAATGAAGTAGCAAGTACTTGCAAGATAGAGAAGTTGTATGTTTCATCATCAAGAGCACAAACAATGAAATTTGTGACCCGCAAGTGGCGTAATCGGCAAGCCCAATTCATTAGCATGTCTTTATAACTATATCCAGCAACTGCAAGCACAATAGTCTTGTTCTTGTCTGCAATTAATGAAAGAAGTGACTCCAAGGAGAACTGAAAGTCTAATGACTCTGAAGGCTTAATCTGATCCATTAACGAGCAGTCTAATATTCCGTTTACAGGCTTAAGAGCATCAAGACAAGCACTCCTTTTATTCTTCCTCCAAGAACGCAAAATCCTTCCTTTCCCTAAGCTTTGTGCAGTGTCATATCCAAGTGGATGAAAAATGTTCTCTATTGTGTCAACTAAAGTATATTGCCCATCACATTTTAAAAGCTTGGCCAGGTCGGAATAATTGGACTTTTGATAAAACAATGATCCATATGTCATTCCCAAGTGAGAATTTCCATTATATTCCCAGCTTCTGTTTTCGTAAGACTTGTGATCTTCATCATCAAGATAAAAGCTAGAGATGGTCAAACTGGCATCAAATACAAATCTAAAGGCAGATGACAAGGCCTCATTAATGATCCAATTGTCATGGACCCCTCTCCCATACAAGAAAGGAGGGAGCACTGCTGAATGTAAGGGCAGATGTCCACTACTCCATGCCATAAGCTTTTTTCCTTCACAAGGATTCCGCCGCGAACTTTGACCATGTATTACCTCCTGCAACTTTTGAACGAGAGAGAACAATTTCAATGGAATTCTTTTGAAGAGACCATCAACTTTCAGTCTGTAATAGGTTAATTCCTACCTCCCGGCTTCTTATCAGTTTTCCATCCTCCCTTCGCCAATGCTTCCCATCCTCATCCAAGTGGAGCGGGAAATGCGACAGATTTTGCGACAAAGCAACTAGAAGCCAGTCATGGTCAAGTTCATGAGCATAATTCAGAGTGGAAATGAAGTCAGGAAAGAGCACAGTTTCAGGGTGGACCAGAACAGAAATGTCTGATTTGAATGAATATGATCTTGCCATCATGGAATGAAAGAATGGGGTACCAAGGAACCTTAACATAAATAGAAATAGATCAGCTGTCAAATCAAGAAATGCTTTTCCCTTAGTTTGAACTGGAACTTACCTAGAACATACATGCCTTTAAAATGCAAGTATTTTCATTTAAAAGACAACATGTAAAAAGAAACTTTTTAGGCTTAATATAATCAATCACATTAAATTCTATTAAAAAGAAAAAGAAAAAGAAACTAAGAATAGATTTACTCCAAATAAGTTACAACTTACCTGCGCAAAATCTAGTGAAGCACATATCCATGAAATAATCTTATACACAAACAGTACTCTTTAAGACTAAATATCATTCAGTCAAAATTACAAGCAAGAATCAGTGAAAAGAACTTACTGACTTACGTAAAATCAATGTTGGGCTCTACCAAAACCCGGGAACCAAATGCTTCTGCGAAAGAGAAAACAGAAGGGTGTTTGCTGAACAGAACAACTTGAATTTGTGAGGACAAAGCAAGCCATGAACGAACAGCCAGGCTCTGGCTATCGGCAACAGAGGCAGTAAAAGGACTTGGAGCTGATAATATGGTGATTTTGGGATTGCCCAGATGACGAAGGTCTTTCTGACTCTGTTTGGACTTGGCTATCTGATCTATAAGAGGAGGTAACCTCTGAGTTGAATAGAAGGAAAGGCAAATCAACGCAAACCCAGATAGCCAAATCGACCATAGTCCCATCTTTACGGCCTGCAAACCAAAAAAAGAAACTTTCTCAGACGCAATGCAATTCAAAAGATAAAAACAAAAGAAGAAGAAGAAAGAGAGAGAGAGAGAGATTTGTGTTATGGAGTGAGAGACAAAGGAAAAGGAACAACCTTCATAGTGGAATGGTTGATACGTTCATTTTTTTTGTTTATAAAAAGAAAATGTGAGTTGGGTTAGTGTGGTACAAACAAAGGAAAAGAGTGAAACTTTAACTGAAAATAAGGGGAATTGGAGGAGTAACGAACGCACAAACACAAGAGGTATTGCCAATTGGCATGACCATTACTCATTAGGCATTACCATTAGACGCGTAAGGCGGCAGAGAGAAGGGAGTGAGGGATGCATGTGAGAGTTGTCGTCATGCACATTTCGTCCTCATTTAGCTAGCTAGAGAGAGAGAGAGAGAGAGAGATTTCCAATTTCTAAGTCAACGCCAACAGATCACTAAATTGCCCTCTCCACCAGATCTCTCTCTCTCTCACTTCTCTCTTTATTTTTAGTTTTCTTTTTTAAAATAATTATTACTACTATCAATCATTTTTTTTTCATCTATAAGCGTCCATATTACTATTAATGCACTAATGTGTTGTACTGTATCTTTTTTCGCAGTGGTGACGAATACAGAGAGCTCTTCATGCTCTTCAAGTTCTATACGAAGCTATTTATTTCGTTCCATCCATTCAATATGACTACGACCAGATCTACTGATCATTTTCCTCTCAAAGATCGACATAAAATTCCCATGTTGTTACAACATATTAAAATTTGAATGCGTCCTATCTTAATTCAGCAAAACAGAAAATGTCGTAGTTTATGCGCGCACACTGAATATTTTATCGATAATTTTGTGTCATACTGATTTCGTGTTGAAAATCTGTCTTTTGAAAATCATCATAAGCCATGCACAATATAAAGCTTAGATCTTTATGATAGAAATGGGGGTTGAAAAACAGAAAAATGGAGAGAAAAGTAAAAGTTGACATACATTGTGTCACGGTTGTTTCCATTCAATTGAGTTGAAAAAAAAATTACATAAAGAAAAAAAAAAGTGGATGGCATGTAATAATTAATTCCACCCCAAAACAATGTCACATTGATATCTTTGAACATATTTCTCCGGCCTATAAACTAAATTTATTTCATCCAACGAGGCGGCCGGCTCAACAAGACGACAACTTTAGTCGATGATTTTTGCCAAATGGATCCACAAACTGATAGTCCTCAGCTACCAATATATGCACCCAAATTTCAACACAAACGCTGTGTGCAGGCCCCGCCCTAGAAGCATGAAGCTCGCGAGACCCTCTACCTCAGCGCTGTGTCGGCAGGATTGAAGAATACATGCATGCATACGTAACATATCCATTATGGAAACACTATGGCAGCAACTCCCATATGAAGGAAGGAAAAAGAGAGTGAAATAATACATAAGACATCAGCCCTTTGATGCTTTTTGAACAGTACATGGAATACGTATTATGTCACAACTACAAAATATCAACCCTCAGACCAGATAACCTATGAAAATTTCTCCAGAAACTCCGGGGAGCTAAATTATTGGGGCATCATCAGCTTAGAAAGCATAAAGGAAATGAACCTCGGCTTAACTTTGATCGTCACTGCCCCAGCGATTGAAGTGTACAGAACACCTATAACTATTTAAGCCCACATACGGAAAAAAGTATTCAAGTACATTAGTAAGTAGCCCTGGTATGCACCAGAATTGCAAGTGTCACGACTTGAAATTTCACTTCACATGATATTGCCTGTAGAGATTGTTTCTCTGATCATCTATGCCGCCGCACAGGAGTTCTAGACCTTGACCTTGACCTCCTTCCCCTGCATAAAATTTAGTGAAGTCAAAACGCTAACAACAATCATAACTGAAGACGCAGTGGCCCTACACTTTCACCTGAGTTGCTCATTGATTGGTGGTGGGCATGTCTCAAAAACACAAGACGGTCTTAAAGAATTCATGGAAACATACCTCTTGTTATCAAGAGAAGAATAAGGAGAATGCCTGCGCTGTGAATGCTTGCTATGTGGAGACCGCAAAACTTGTCTAGAAATAAAAACACCCATCATACTGACATGGTGAGTTAAACATGCATAGTTCAAAAGGAGATGCTCAACCTTGTTCACACATATTCTATTGGAAGTGCGTTCTTAGCAAAAGCAGTCCGCTTCTAACGACAGAAATTCGGAATTCAGAAATTAACAGTTAACATTTACATAAAAACAAGTGTACATAACCCAACAATTCTAGCAACACCGCCAATCCACCCACTAAAAAATTTTCAAGTCAAACAATAACAATTCACAGAAGATATTTAACCTCTTGCGTTCCTTTGTTTATCTATTTAATAGTGTGTGGG